CTAGAACTGAGCCCTGGGGGACACCAGTGGTGAGAGCACGTGGTGCGGAGACAGCTTCTCGCCACGCCACTTGGTAGGAGCGACCGGTCAGGTAGGACGCAATCCAAGAGTGAGCCGCGCCGGAGATGCCCAGCTCGGAGAGGGTGGAGAAGAGGATCTGATGGTTCACAGTATCAAAGGCAGCAGACAGGTCTAGAAGGACAAGAGCAGAGGAGAGAGAGTTAGCTTTAGCAGTGCGGAGAGCCTCCGTGACACAGAGAAGAGCAGTCTCAGTTGAATGACCAGTCTTGAAACCTGACTGGTTAGATCAAGAAGGTCATTCTGAGAGAGATAGCAAGAGAGTTGGCTAAAGACGGCACGCTCAATAGTTTTGGAGAGAAAAGAAAGAATGGATACTGGTCTGTAGTTGTTGACATCAGAGGGATCGAGTGTTGGTTTTTTGAGAAGGGGTGCAACTCTCGCTCTCTTGAAGACGGAAGGGACATAGCCAGCGGTCAAGGATGAGTTGATCAGCGAGGTGAGGTAAGGGAGAATGGCATTGAAGATGTTCCTGTCTGACACCACTTCTGCCAGGAGACCTGAATCTAGCATCAAATCAAAGCAATCAATTGCCTTCTCTTTTGTGCCTTTTCTCTCAAGAAAGTGACAGGAGTCCATGTGGAGTGAGCAGGAGGAGAGAGGTCTATGCAAATGCAACGTTCTTCGTAGTTTGGGTATACTGGTTTGCAAATGAACAAAACAGAATGATGGTGGAGGTGGGGAGGCTCAGGTGTGAAATTGGAATTGGGGCATTGCCATGGGCAATCCAAGATGAACTATGAAGCTATCTGAAGAACATAATGAAGACGCCAGAAGATTGAGTGCTGGTAGAGGAAGGGAGTGTTAGTTGAGGTAGTATGTTGATTAAGGAGGTATTATACACTGCTAAATGTATAGTAATTTAGACTAGGAATGCATTAAGATACAACTGATCTGTTGTAATTCTCGTTATGAGGAAGTAATGCTAGAATTATGATAATATAAATATACATTCCTCCAGTGTCAATATGTGCCAATGTGAGAGTTTTAACTTTGAATGATGGAACCAAGGTGACTAATTAAGAATTGTCATTCTAAAGTTGTTTTGGGTAATTCATTTAATTATGATTATAAATTATAAGTGGACTAATTGATCTGAATAAGTTATTAATATTAATGCCTAGTGATGTTGACATTGCAATTAATGGATTAGATATTGTTATTGATTATTTTGATTGTTATAATACTTGTGATATGGGTGAAAAAAGATTATGTAAGCTAAAGATGTTGACACCATTCTTAACATGTCCTAGATATTATTGTCAAGATAAAGTTGCATATGTTGATGTGTTAGGATACTAATACATATATGAGAAAATGCTACAATTAAACAGAAGTGGGGAGCAATGTTTACAAAGATGGCAATCATGATAGGCATAGCACTTGTAGTAATGGGAATGGTTTTTTGCTGTATACTACCTCTGTTAAAATCATTTGTTGATCCAAACCACAGTAAAACAAATAACTGTACAGATCATTGTTACTAGTTCAGCCAAAGAAATAGACCCAGTTCAGGGAGCTCCAGGACAGTATGTAAATTAATATGGGAAATTTTGTAAACGTTAAGGGGGGACCAATGGATTGTCCATTTGGGAATTCTGAATATTTGTATGGAGTTGTTCCTGGGGGTGGATGGGCTTGCCATGGTTACAAAGCCCAATAGAACAATTTGGAGGTTAATTTAGAGGAAAGCCTTCTAGACTTGTAATCAATACCTGACTGGGCTCTGGGTCCTCATCAGGATGGGTCAAGTAATGAGGAAGATATATTGGTTTAAATATATGCACGTAAAATGTAACCACATATGGCAAGGTTAGGAATAAGTAAATGCACATGCTTATATTCATTTTTACAATTAATCTTTGTGTTGTTGGGACATTGTTGGAGTGTCCCAAAGGGGGGATTATATGGTATTATTTTATGTATCATTAAGGCAAATGTAGGGAGAGGTCAAAGGTAAAATATAATAAACATGACTATGTTTAAATGAATGTATGTGCTCTGTCACAGGGGCTCTCAAACTGTGGCCCATGGGCTTATTATGGACACATTGTATGCATTACCTTAGTTCTTTTTTAAGAAGGGGCCTAGGCCACGCAGCCAATAGATTGATAGAATGAGAGGCTTCATATAGAAAAAAGCATTCATGACCTTTTGGAGTGGACATTGTGTGACAGCTGGACATTGGAAAAGAAGGGTGGTGCAGAACTAAAATAAGTTAGGAATTTGCCATAAGTGGGTAACTGAATATGCCATGGAAGTATGTTTGTGCATTTGTGTGTGTGTATAAAAGGAGCTCTAAGCCAAGAGACAGCCGTTCCATGGAACTGCTCGGCTTTCGTTATTAGATAATAAAAGTCTAATTTGTGGATTCACAGGCTCCAGTTTCTTGAGAGATATGTTTGAGTTGACTACTTTCGAGTCATATATATTTCTACGACACCTGTTGGTGGAATTCACATTTCTCCCCCTTCACCAACAGGCTGTGTTCCCGGAGGCGGAGTAGGACTGCTCGGACGTCCCTGATGTGCTCCTCGAACGTAGCCGAGTAGATCAGGATATCGTTGATGTACACCACCACCTGTCTACTCAGCATGTCTCAGAAAACGTCATTGACGAAGGACTGGAACACGGAAGGTGCGTTGGCGAAGCCGTAGGGCATGACGCAGTATTCATAGTGGCCTGAGGTAGTGCTAAATGCAGTCTTCCACTCGTCTCCTTCCCGGATTCGAATCAGGTTGTAGGTACTCCTGAGGTCCAACTTGGTAAAGTACCGGGCCCCTCGCAGCTGCTCGATGGCCAACGGAACCAGAGGGAGGGGGTACCGGGACTTGGTAGTGACTGCGTTCAGCCCCCAGTAGTTCAGCCCCCTCAGTCCTCCATCTTTTTTGGCCACGAAGAAGAAGCTGGCGGAAGGCTCCTGTTGTAGCCGAGGAGACGCTTACCCCATCCTTTCCCTCCATGGTATGATCGAACACCGCCCTGAACGAAGCGAGGAAGGTGGAGTAGGGAAGCGCCGCGGCCTCACCTCCTTCCCAGACTGCCGTGGCCCAACCTAGTGCCTTTCCCTTCAGTAGCAAAATCACCAGCGCTATCCTGGCTTGGTCCGATGGAGATGCCCCACGCTGACGCGCCAGATACAGTGAGACCTGTAGCAGGAAGCCTCTACATTTCGTTGTTTTCCCGTCATAGCGCGGGGTCCCTCAGACGTTGGTGATAGCATGGGAGGAGGGTGACTGGGTGCACTCGCCGCTCCCTGAGGTGGAACCGGAGCGATGGTCTGTTTATGCAGCGTTTGGAGCACTTCTTGCATGGTGGCGTTCAGCTGGGCAATCTGAATAATTATAATTAGTCATTTAGCAGACGCTCTTGTCCAGAGCGACTTACATGAGCAATTAGGGTTAAGTGCCTTGCTCAAGGGCACAGACAGATTTTTCACCTAGTCGGCTCGGGGATCAGAACCAGTGACCTTTCGGTTTCTGGCACAACACTCTTAACCACTAAGCTACCTGCCGCCCCCAAGGGTAAGACAAAAGGTTACTACTCTCTGTTTATTATCTATTATCTATGCATAGTCACTTTACCCCTACCTACATGTACATATTACCTAAATTAACTCGACTAACCTGTACCCCCGCACATTGACTCGGTACCGGTACCACCTGTATATAGCCTTGTTATTATTATTTTATTGTTGCTCTTTTATTTTTTACTTTAGATTATTTAGTAAATATTTTTCTTAACTCCTATTTTTCTTAAAACTGCATTGTTGGTTAAGGGCTTGTAAGTAAGCATTTCACGGTAAGGTCTACACCTGTTGTATTCGGCGCATGTGACAAATAAAATGTGATTTGATTTGATTGAGAGTATGGTAGAAAATTCTAAGCCTAACCCTAACACTTTCTTTATGAACCCCCTCATCTTTAGGCAAGCACAGAGCACAGAGATTGTGAATGATAAACTATTTCAAAGTGACACTCCAGTGAACTGTATTTCTAGGGAATGCAGGGGTGTTTTATTGAGAAAGTTGCACTGTTGATTATCACAGATGATATCTGAAAGAGAGAGCTTAACACAGTAATGTTAGGGCGGAAGAAGACATGGATGTGGGATGCTGGGATAATAAGACACCATAAAAGCATTTTAAAGAGCAACTTGGTTTCATAAAGCCTTTTATTTCAACACAAATACATGTCTTTTTTTATTTTATTTTATTTTTAACACATTTCATGTTCTGGTGTGCTCATTAACAGTTGTTGTTATTACCTGAGGGCTGAAACATTACATATTTGTCAAAATGACATATCTATGAAAATGAACTAAAATCTAAACTAAGGCCTAGATTCAATCAGATCAAGCGTAAACAAACACCCACATATCTGATATTTTGGAGGTGTAAATACGTTGGAGCTATCAAATCGGTGAACAGCTGCTCTTGATCATTATCACGAAGCTACACGGTTAAGTTGAAAATCATTCAACAAAATAATTAGGATTTCTATCAGCCTAATCGAGGTGTAGATTACATCTCATATTCCAGTGTTAGAACTTGTAAACAAGGCTGCATGGGATTTCTCTTAATGCGACTACATGCAGCCAATGGCAATGTCCGCTTTAGGTATAATGCCAGGAGCCGCTTGTGGATTTGACAGCTCTAACATAGCTCCACCTCCAACACCGCCAAAAATACCGCTATGGGGATGTCGGCTAAAGCGGATCTGATTGAATAGAGCCTTTAAATACAGAAAAAGCCAAATGTAATTGCACAAGTGTGATTGCTGGCGGAAACATATTGCAGAGAGGGCAGAAGTTCCTGTTCTGTTGCACAACACTGGATTCAAATCACATCTCTGAGCACTTTTAAATGTCACAAAACACTCTGACTCAACAGGTTCTCATGGTTGACACACACACAGAGAACTTTACATAATATTCTCCTGGGTTCTTTCTGATGTGTTCTTGGACATGCTCTGTCTGGGTACCGGCTCCTCAGTGGCAAAATTGAACATACTGCGCAGGGAGCGATTGATACTCTGCTTAAAGCCTCGTCCCAGACACACATAGAGCAGAGGGTTGAGGCAGCTGTTACAGTAGGCCAGACAGAGGGCCAGGGTGTGGGCCAGCTGTACGTTGGCGCTGTGTGATGAGTGCCGGGGGGTCAATAGAACCAGGAAGTCCAGCATGTGCAGTGGAACCCAGCACAGGAAGAAGCTCAGCGACACAGCAACAATGACCCTCAAGGTGCGTCTGGTGCGCACCTCACTCACCCTCCCAGACCCCACCTCAGACCCCTGCCTGGCCCTGCTATACACAACCCAATGACACACCACGATGGTGACGAATGGCAGCACGAAACCCACCAGGAAGCGTAGTGTGATTATAGCCCAGCTGCTAACTATAGTGTAAGATCCCAGGCACTCTGACTTACTGGTGCTTAACTGGACCTCCTTCACGTTGACAAACTGGGGGATGCTGCCCAGCAGGGCCAGGAGCCACAACCCGACACATACCCAGGTGGCCTTGTGAGGCCTCCTCCAGTTCTGGCACCACACGGGACGGCTGACCAGCAGCCAGCGGTCCAGGCTGATGAGTACCAGCAGCAGCACGCTACAGTACATGACCATGTAGATGAGGCCCTTGAGCAGCTTGCAGGCCACAGGGCCAAAGGGCCAGTGCTGGTCCATGGCCAAGGGCACCATGTGGAGGGGCAGGGACAGGCAGCACAGTAGATCAGCTAGGGCCAGGTTGAGGAACCACAGAGAGGTGACGGAGCGCGGCATGCGGAAGCCAATCACCCACACCACCAGAGCGTTGCCCGGGACCCCCAGCAGGAAGACCAAGCCATAGAACACCAGGGCGGACAGGTGACGGGGCCCCAGCACAGGATCAAGGTCCTCAAGCATGACAAATTCACAGTCAGTGATGTTCAGGAGGCTCATCTCCTCATCAGTGAACATCGAGCACAAATCATCCATGCTTGGAGGTGACTGTTGAGTGGAAGGGAAAGACAGTAATATGATTTTATATTTTACATTTGAGTCATTTAGCAGACGCTCTTATCCAGAGACTTACAGTTAGTGAGTGCATACATTTTTCATACTGGCCCCCCGTGGGAAACGAACCCACAACCCTGGAGTTGCAAGCTTTTTAAAATATATATTTTCATAGGATTTACGTTAACTCCGTCAGACACCTTAAAAGGCTTTTAATGTTTAAATGTATTGTCCAACAAGTGTTTAATGGCCAAAATGTGGGGTTAAATGCATGTCAAAAAAAGATAAGGGGTTTAATACATATAGGAAAGACACTTCAGAACAAACTTTCTTTTGATATTTTTTGGGACTATCTGTTGTTCCGTGTAGTGAATATGTTATCAATACATTTGTATGGGCTGATAGCACAAAGGCCCAAAAATATGTTTCATCAAATATTTTTTAAATATATTTTTGTATACTTCAAGGGGTCTTAAAATACAAAATCAAATAGCTAAATGATCTTTAAACAATAGTCTAAGCATACAGTGCCTTCAGAAAGTATTCAGAACCCTTCCCTTTTTCCACATTTTGTTATTACAGCCTAATTCTTAAATGGATTAAATAAATAAAAATTGTCATCAATCTACACTAAATACCCCATAATGACAAGCGAAAACCGGTTTTTAGAAATCTGTGCAAATGTATACGAAATAAAAAACTGAAATACCTTATTTACATAAGTATTCAGACCCTTTGATATGAGACTCGAAATTGAGCTCAGGTGCATCCTGTTTCCAATAGGCATCCTTGAGATGTTTCTACAACAAGATTATCTGGTCTGATGAAACCAAGATTGAACTCTTTGGCCTGAATGCCAAGCATCACGTCTGGAGGAAACCTGGCACCATCCCTACGGTGTAGCATGGTGGTGGCAGCATCATGCTGTGGGGATATTTTTGTTCAGTGTATAAGGGAGATGGAGTTTACATATTATGTTGGTGACCATGGTGATTTCAATATTGTTTGTTAAATTCTATCAAAAGTAGAGCACTTTACAGGCCATGAGTTGTCTTGTTGCACTACATGTAATGAGGACATGAAGGGTATTATGGTGTAGCTGACCCTGCTCATTCCTGATTAATTTAGGATTTCAGACTAATCTGACAGAGGTGACCAAGGGCTCTGTTCAATCTGTCTCGTTGAAGCGTAACTGATTGCGCGCTAGAAATCTTAAGGTAATTTCCTTAAAATGCAGCGTTTACTGTGAATGCAGTCTCCACTAAAGCGGGAACATTGACTTTAAATTTCAATCACATTGTAACACGGAACTTCTGCAATACGTATTGAATTGAGCCCCAAATCTCCGGACACATTTGTTAGGAATCACAGTTTTGAGAGAAATATTATTTAAAAGTCAGAGAGGGCTATTGCAAGAAATTACATAAGATCCCTTTTCAGTTCATATTAATTATTGCTCGTTTTTAGGAGAGTTTGGAATTGGGATCCGTTGCTCCAGATAAGAGCATTTCCGGGCATAGAGCCCACATATTTTGAGATTGCCTAAAGCAAATCTTTCCCCTTTAAAAATTTCACTAAAATGTCATTTTTAAGCTCAAATAATGCAACAAAATCCTTATTTTCTTTCAACTAAAAATTTTTCGTTTCACTGCCAGACAAGGATTGTCCTGACTTTCAAGAATCCCTGAATTTAGAATGGTATAATTATATTTTTACCATTACATACTGTTGACTTGCTAGCTGCTATTGTTTTTTCACACAAAGTGTTTTAAATATTCAAGCCATATCCATATCAAGACCAAAGTAAATAACCATAGGATATTAAAATGTCATTAATGCTGGAATGGCTTAGTTGTGATAACAGGGTTAAACAGGATTTGAAATTGAGGAATAACACAAACACACTTTATAAAGTGATACAAGACCAGTCAGCATTTTACATAACAATATGAAATTTAAAAGTAATCATTCAAGTGCAAAATACCTCTAAAATGAAATAATTTCAATCACATAATCAATCACCAAACACTGTAAAGTTAAGGTTACAATTAAGATTGCACTTTACCTTAGATTTCAGACTTATGGCTCGGCCTTCCTCTTGTTGATGACACGCCACACAACCAGAAAAAATAGGAACTGTTCTTCTTTAGCACAATTTCTGTCGACAGACCCCCCGCCCAATCATGACCTCACCTCCTTATGATCAGGAATTGTAAAAATGTCAACACATTGGGGTAGATAACAGCGCATTTGGAAAGTATTCAGACCCCTTCACTTTTTCCACATTTTGTTATGTTACAGCCTTATTCTAAATTTGATTAAATAAAAAATGTTTCCTTGTCAATCTACACACAATACCCCATAATGACAAAGTGAAAACAGGTTTTTACCAAACAGAAATACCTTATTTACATAAGTATTTAGACCCTTTGCTATGAGACTCGAAATTGAGCTCAGGTGCATTCTCTTTCCATTGAGCATCCTTGAGATGTTTCTACAACTTGATTAGAGTCCACCTGTGGTATATTCAATTGATTGGACATGATTTGGAAAGGCACACACCTGTCTACATAAGGTCCCACAGTTGACAGTGAATGTCAGAGCAAAAACCAAGCCATAAGGTCGAAGGAATTGTCCGTAGAGCTCAGATCTAGCGACCAATACCTTTAATCGCTGTCAAAGGAGCTTCAACAAAGTACTGAGTAAAGGGTCTGAAAATGTCGCTTTGTCATTATGGGGTATTGTGTGTAGATTGATGAGGGGGGAAAAACAATTTAATCCATTTTAGAATAAAGCTGTAACGTAACAAAATGTGGAAAAAGTGAAAAGGTCTGAACACTTTCTGAATGTGCTGTATATTGTAGGCTAGAATCCTCTGAAAGGTAAACTGAGTCATGTGGTGTACTGTATATATATATATATTTTTGTGCATAGCTTATCAGATTTGTTTCAAAAAGGAGTTTCCCCTGAGCCACGTTGCTAATGTTAGCACCTATTATTATCATTGTTATGTTCTCAGCAAGCCTTACAAAATCATAGTCCAACTACATTAATACATCAGAATTTCACAACTTTATTGTTATTGTCGTTATGCTTATTACAGTACTGTTACATACACATTTTTGACAACATTGTTTATATTTACAATTTGTTGGGAGGCCAACGCTATACACACGTATGTTGAGTATGATGACAGCACCTGTACTGCAAATATGTTTTAATATATAGATGTATCTCCATATTAAACTGTCAACAGCAGATACAACAACTGTGTTGTTCCCTTTTGATATCAACAAGTACCTTCAGGATTTGCATGTGTTTGCTCTTGTGTTTACCCTAGCAAATATGTGTACTGTCTTAATAAATAAAACAATTCCATAACCATTTTCGGAATTTCGGACAACTTTGAATGTTGCACACCGCGTTCAGCCAACACATAGTTTTCCAGTTTTTTTCCGGCGGCTCGCCATTATAGTAAGTTAAGGAGGGAAGAATGCCTTTACAGCCTGAATGGTGGATGCTTTATGTACGAGTTGGTCCACGGGGGGCAGGAGTGTATTACCAGGAATGCACATCAAACCTAGACGATAGTGCAGATCTAGCGACCAATATCTGGCGCCCATAAAACAGTGGTCTAGGCTTCGAGGTCCAGAGTTGAGTTTGAAGGGTTTAGGCCAGGGATGGGCAACTCCAGTCCTCGGGGGCTGGAGTGGTGTCACACTTTTTAAACTAATTTCATTCTAAACTGAAGATAATGATTAGTTGATTATTGTAGTCAGGTGTGTAAGCTGGGGCTGGACACCAATCAGGCCCCCGAGGACTGGAGTTGCCCATCCCTGGTTTAGGCCAATACGGATGAATCTATTTATTGTGGGAAAGCCCACAGCCAGGTTGGTATGTCTAACCCTTATGGGTGGAGTGCCCATATCCCCTAACCTGGCTGACAACTCGTGCCAGGCTACATTTCCCTTGGCAACACCATCATTTAAACAATGCAATAAATATATGTAAACATTCTACAATTACTAACTCGAGTATGCACTCTGATGTACTTCAAAACCACTATTGGGCCCTTGGAAATAGGGGAAAATAATACATGAAGTAATGACGTCATTAAAAAACAGCAAATATCAGCAAAGTGTTATTTCCTTCTCTCCACAGATGAGTAATAGTGATTTTCTTAAAATAAACACCCTTGCTATTTAATGTTAGATGTTCTCCTTCACACTACTCCTTCAGATAACACTTTTCCCTCAGAGCTGTCCTTGGTTTTATTTATGACATTTTGCATAGAACATTATACTACTGTCTAACTTAACTTATTTACATAACATAGAAGCTTATCTCCTTTCGTTGTTGGACAATATTTGAACTGTAGTTCCATTCTGTTCCTATTGACCTGTGACCCATGGTCTGTGAGTGGTTTCCTCAGGAAGATAGCAGGGGTTTAGGGGTGGGGTTGGTGACTCAGTTCAGGGCAGGTGAGCTGCAAGGTGGTAGAATGGGTGTTTCATCCCTGAACACATCTGACTGGAGGTCTGTAAGACAGACATAATAATACATTGCCATAGAGTTACAAAGAATGAGTGATTTTCCTTTTGATCTTTCGTCTACGCAAGCAAAGAAGCATGGATTAAAGTAAGAGAGTCTGAAAAGAGAAAGAGAACACGCATTTATAGAAATTGAGAGAGAGAGAGAGAGAGAGAGAGAGAGAGAGAGAGAGAGAGAGAGAGAGAGAGAGAGAGAGAGAGAGAGAGAGAGAGAGAGAGAGAGAGAGAGAGAGAGAGAGAGAGAGAGAGAGAGAGAAATACAGAAATACAGACAAAGAAACACACACACACACAATGTACCAATGAGGGATGTGTTCTGCTGGTGGTTGATGACAACAGACGTCTCTTCCTCCTCTCCCCAGTCTGCGATGTTGGCCGGGGGAATACACTGCTCCAGGAACAGATCTTCATCCTCCTCAGAACAGAAGTCCATGTCTTCCGGGGGCCACCGTAACTCGCCACTCTCCACTTCGCTCATGTCCGTGGGCTCCACCACGATGGAGGGAAGCCGCTCCTTCTCAGAGGGACTAAACTGCTGCAGGTGATTGGGAGAGCCCTCTGGACTCAGAGACACCTCCACTGGGTCTGGGAAGATCTGGAGGCAGAAGGAGGGTCCACAGGTGGGTGTTTGAATGTTGGGTGACATGGATGGTGACATTAATTCACTGGTATAGACTCTTGTATTGTAAACCTTAGAAAAAAAAGACCCATCATTTTAACATTTAAGTCATTTAGCAGACGCTCTTATCCAGAGCGACTTACAAATTGCTGCATTCAACTTAGGATAGCCAGTGGGACAACCACATCTTGATCACAGTAAGTACAGTTCATCAAACAAGCAGCTGTGAGCAATGTCAGTGCAATCAGGGACAACTACATCTCGATCACAATAAGTACATTTCTTTAAACAAGTCAGTGCTAGCAGGTGAAATAAGTCAGGTGTTAGTTTAGACAAAAGACAGTGGTAGTAAAGGGGGGGGTAGAAGGATTACTATTATACTATTCCAGGTATTCCTTAAAGAGGTAGGGTTTCAAGTGTCTCCGGAAGGTGGTCAGTGACTCCTCTGTCCTGGCGTCGTGGGGGAACTTGTTCCATCATTGGGGTGCCAGAGCAGCGAATAGCTTTGACTGGGCTGAGTGGGAACTGTGCTTCCGTAGAGGTAGGGGGGCTAGCAGGCCAGAGGTGGATGAACGTAGTGCCCTCGTTTGGGTGTAGGGTCTGATCAGAGCCTGAAGGTAAGGAGGTTCCGTTCCCCTCACAGCTCCGTAGGCAAGCACCATGGTTTTATAGTAGATGCGAGCTTCAACTGGAAGCCAGTGGAGTGTGTGGAGGAGCGGGGTGACGTGAGAGAACTTGGGAAGGTTGAACACCAGACGGGCTGCAGCGTTCTGGATAAGTTGCAGGGGTTTAATGGCACAGGCAGGGAGTCCAGCCAACAGCGAGTTGCAGTAATCCAGACGGGAGATGACAAGTGCCTGGATTAGGACATGTGCCGCTTTCTGTGTAAGGTAGGGTCGTATTCTGCGAATGTTGTAGAGCATGAACCTGCAGGATCTGTTCACCGCTTTGATGTTAGCAGAGAACGACAGGGTGTTGTCCAGGGTCACGCCAAGGTTCTTTGCACTCTGGGAGGAGGACACAATGGAGTTGTCAACCGTGATGGCGAGATCATGGAGCGGGCAGTCCTTCCCCAGGAGGAAGAGCAGCTCCACCTTGCTGAGGTTCAGCTTGAGTGGTGCAGTGGTCTAAGGCACTGCATCGCAGTGCTAGCTGTGCCACTAGAGATCCTGGTTCGAATCCAGGCTCTGTCGTAGCCGGCCGCGACCGGGAGACCCATGGGGCGGCGCACAATTGGCCCAGCGTCGTCCAGGGTAGGGGAGGGAATGGCCGGCAGGGATGTAGCTCAGTTGGTAGAGCATGGCGTTTGCAACGCCAGGGTTGTGGGTTCAATTCCCACGTATGCACTAAATAAAAAATAATAATAATGTATGCACTCACTAACTGTAAGTCGCTCTGGATAAGAGCGTCTGCTAAATGACGTAAATGTAAATGTAAATGTAATCCACACTGATATGTCTGCCAGACATGCAGAGATGCGATTCGCAACCTGGTTATCAGGGAAAGGAGAAAATTAATTGTGTGTTGTCTGCGTAGCAATGATAGGAGAGACCATGTGAGGATATGACAGAGCCAAGTGACTTGGTGTATAGAGAGAATTGGAGAGGGCCTAAAACTGAGCCCTGGAGGACACCAGTGGTGAGAGCATGTGGTGCGGAGACAGATTCTCGCCAGGCCACCTGGTAGGAGCGACCTGTCAGGTAGGACGCAATCCAAGAGTGAGCAGCGCCGGAGATGCCGAACTCGGAAAGGGTGGAGAGGAGGATCTGATGGTTCACAGTATCAAAGGCAGCAGATAGGTCTAGAAGGATAAGAGCAGAGGAGAGAGAGTTAGCTTTGGCAGTGCGGAGAGCCTCCGTGAAACCGAAAATAGCAGTCTCAGTTGAATGACCAGTCTTGAAACCTGACTGGTTAGGATCAAGAAGGTCATTTTGAGAAAGATAGCAGGAGAGTTGGCTAGAGACGGCACGCTCAAGAGTTTTGGAGAGAAAAGAAAGAAGGGATACTGGTCTGTAGTTGTTGACATCGGAGGGATCGAGTGTAGGTTTTTTGAGGAGGGGTGCAACTCTCGCCCTCTTGAAGATGGAAGGGACATAGCCAGTGTTCAAGGATTAGTTGATGAGCGAGGTGAGGTAAGGGAGAGGAGGGGATAGGGTCAAGCGGGCAGGTTGTTGGGCGGCCGGCCGTCACAAGTCGCAAGATTTCATCTGGAGAGAGAGGGGAGAAAGAAGTCAAAGCATAGGGTAGGGCAGTGTGAGCAGGACCAGCGGTGTCATTTGACTTAATAAATGAGGATTGGATGTCGTCAACCTTCTTTTCAAAATGGTTGATGAAGTCATCCACAGAGAGGGAGGAGGGAGGGGGAGGAGGAGGAGGATTCAGCAGGGAGGAGAAGGTGGCAAAGAGCTTCCTAGGGTTAGAGGCAGAGGCTTGACATTTAGAGTGGTAGAAAGTGGCTTTAGCAGCAGAAACAGAGGAAGAACAAGTAGAGAGGAGGGAGTGAAAAGATGACAGGTCCGCAGGGAGTCGAGTTTTCCTCAATTTCCGCTCGGCTGCCCGGAGCCCTGTTCTGTGAACTCGCAATGAGTCGTCAAGCCACGGAGCAGGAGGGGAGGACCGAGCCGGCCGAGAGGATAGGGGACATAGAGAGTCAAAAGATGCAGAAAGGGAGGAGAGGAGGGTCGAGGAGCCAGAATCAGGAGACCGGAGGGAGAAGGATTTAGCAGAGGGAAGAGATGATAGGATGGAAGAGGAGAGAGTAGCGGGAGAGAGAGAGCGAAGGTTGCGACGGCGCATTACCATCTGAGTAGGGGCAGAGTGAGTAGTGTTGGAGGAGAGCGAGAGAGAAAAGGATACAAGGTAGTGGTCGGAGACTTGGAGAGGAGTTGCAGTGAGATTAGTAAAAGAACAGCATCTAGTAAAGATGAGGTCAAGCGTATTGCCTGCCTTGTGAGTAGGGGGGGACGGTGAGAGGGTGAGGTCAAAAGAGGAAAGGAGTGTAAAGAAGCAGGCAGAGAGAAATGAGTCGAAGGCAGACGTCGGCAGGTTAAAGTCACCCAGAACTGTGAGGGGTGAGCCATCCTCAGGAAAGGAACTTATCAAGGCGTCAAGCTCGTTGATGAACTCTCCAAGGGAACCTGGAGGGCGATAAATGACAAGGATGTTAAGCTTGAATGGGCTAGTGACTGTGACAGCATGGAATTCAAATGAGGAGATAGACAGATGGGTCAGGGGGAAAAGAGAGAATGTCCACTTGGGAGAGATGAGGATTCCTGTGCCACATCAGGATCTATTGTTCAACAGCATGCCATTTATTAAGGGTATTTGGAACGAGAAACATGTCTGTGATATTGAATATAGATGCAGAGGTGGGTGGGGGGATGGGTGGTTGGCTGGGTGGATACGTACCTGGAAAGGTAACCTGTTCTCGTTATTCCTCTGCGGTGACATCTCGCCCATCGATGACTCCTGGGCACCAAGCACCTCCATCCCTCTGTGTGTAAAAGATAGTTCAGCTAACTGATAACACACACACAGTATATACTGTAGAAAGCCACTGGGATGTACTACAGGAACACAGTACACAAAGACAGAAACACATTCACACTCAGCACTGTTGTAACACTTTACATGGCTGAGTAGACAGAAACAAAAATACACATCTTACTCATACTACACTGTACACAAACACAATGATGCATAAAAAAGCGTCTCAGAGAGGAATATATACTATTGAGCTGCACAGAACCTTGGCTCAGGTGGTACTGATGGAACCTTAGTTTCCACTGGTAATCCTGGCACCAGAGTAGACCCTAGATACTCCCTTATATGGAACCCTCCCTGTGTTTACCAGACACAACCTTCATCATGTTTTTTTCCACTTCTACCAGCAGGCTCTGGACACCAGTCAGTCACACAGTTGCTGTTGACAGATGCTTGCTTGTCCTCTATTCCTCTTTCCCTCCCTCCCTCTATCCCTCCCTCCCTCTTCCTGTTTCTCCCTTTATCCCTTTCATCGACCAACCCCTCCCGTACACACATCTGTCCCAGAGAGACCTCACTGGTGCTAGTACTACACACACGCTATCTCTCTCGCCATCCCCAACTGGCTCAAGCAGCTTCCAAATGGACATCAGGAAACTACTCACCCCAATGACCTCTCCAAGTACATATTATAGTGTGCCTCATGACAACCACATCCGGTTTTCTCAGCATAATTCGCTCTAGTCCCTCATGCCCATAAATGCATGTCGCATTGCGTGTCCCTCATCACTTTGAAATAGGCCCTTCATTGGTCAGAGGGGTCAGTGCTATAGCTGATTGGCTGGGGTTGGTCTGTGAGGTAGCAGAGTGAATCCCAGTTGTGGTGAGCCTAATCGTCACGTTCACATGGCCCCTCAACCCACCCACACACACACACACACACACACACACACACACGCGCACGCACACGCACGCACGCACACACATACACGCACGTACATACGCACGCACGCACGCACACACGCACACACACACACACACACACACAACACACACACACTTAGCACTGAGCTTCAGATTAGATTGCTTATGGCTGCCAGGGGGGGTTTGATCACATAAAAATCGAATATGTCCTTGTCCATCTTTTTGTTTTTCATTATGTGACAGATTGGCAGAACGTGGCCATCATATCACTGCGTCCAAAGCCAAGCCTCCATGCTAAAAGGGAGAAACATAGTTTCCCATTCACTGTATGAGCCCAAGTTATTTCCACTTTAAATCTGTTTATGTTTTCCAGAAGAGCCGCCCGAGGATTCAGAGGAACTGAAGATGTCTCCCCATTCTCATCACTCCTCCCAGTGCCAGTCTGGTATTATGGCCTTCGGTCACTGTGGCCATCACTCACTCCTTTCGTTCTAATGAAGCTGGGCTGTAAGAGACTCTTTCAAAGCAGCAGAACAACTGTTCAAACCCCTTTTACATTCATGTCCAGTTTTCTGTGAAATTGGTTTCAGCTTAAAAAATATCATGTTTTTGACCCAATTCATTTTCTGTTATGTTATAGACACAGTAACTGTGCTATGTGCATGGATAAGCTGTTTGTGTGTCATCTGTGACGGAACATTTTCAGCTGGTTTAGCCTAGATGTAATCTCCTCCCTGCCTCCTGAACATTCCTCTGCCAGCCTGTCAGTAACAAACTAACACAGTCACTCACTTCATGGTAGCGCGGAAGGATTGGGGGCAGGAAACAGGGCCAAATCACAATGTGTAAACTGCTGACAGACCACAGAAAAAACAAACATGTTCAACTCCACCACTGATACACTCACCCATACACCAATTTGACTCTATGCTATCCCAAACCATCAAACCCACACTTTCTATACACTTTGCCACTGGTGCTTTCTTAGTATAATTTCTACACTCTACTATGAGGTCCTGATACAGGTCAACATCACCATAACAGTAATAATCAACTGTAACTAGAGTATCACTGCACACCTGTGTAATCCACACACACAATCAGCGAGGAGTCTTACCCTTCTGTGGTCAGGCAGAAGTCCTCCCCATCCTGGCAGACCTCCACGCCTTCCAAGGTGGTCACTCCAATGGTGGGCATATGGGGCCGAGGATGGGGTGCAGACGGAGGGGTGCAGCTCCTACAGCACTCTCCCTCCGCCTGCAACTCATGGGAGCAGCTAGTCTCCAGGGCAACGCCTGGATGGGCTGTGACGGGGTCCACGTGGGAGGGGTTCTGAGGGTGGAGACTCTGTGGTCAGTAAGGTCGCTCCCTCTGTGGGTCAACACGGTACTGACCTAAAAGACAAGAAACATGTGTCCACTAGTCCACAGCCTCCGGGCTTCTATGTCTACCAGCTACCCCCTCTCTGTCTCTCTCCCTCCCTCCCCCTCTCTGTCTCTCTTCCTCCCTCCCTCCCCCTCTATCGCTCCCTCACTCCCCCTCCATCTCTCTTTTGCTCTCTCTCCTCCTCTCCCTCCCCCCTCTCTCTCTCTCTCGCTACAGGCAGGGCTTTGCAGAAGTGGAATTGAGGGATTAGCGTCTCTTTCGATTACAGAGGCTGGGTGGGTGACATCAGCCGGGCCTGCCTGTACCTCTGCCAAGTGGGCACACAGTGCAGTGTTCACTGTGCACTGTTACATTGGCTCAGTACGTGTGCAGCTGCTTACACGCAGTCTGCTGAGGAGAAGTTTCACTCCTTCATCAAGACTAGGCAGGCTGTGCCCCCACCACCTCTCTCTCTCTCTCTCTCTATTTCTCTCTCTCTCTCTCCCGGTGTGTGCTGTCACTCTCGTCAGAGTGGATTTGGACAATTCAAAGGAATTAGCCTTAGGGTCAAAGGCTTAGGGGTGTGGTGGAGATATATATAGCAGCAGGCAGCAGGAAAGCCATGTCCACTCAAACGCAGCATCAGTCACAGCACTGTGATCCCCACAGTACACATCCTGTGGTTCAGGCAGAGAGAGGACCGGCCACTGCCAGTCAACCTGTTTAATGGCCTCACTGATTGATTTTCCACTCATGCACCTGTGCAGAAGCAACTGATTGATATGTTAATGCTTGATAGTATTAACCTAGTTTAATGATTGATTTATCTCTGTGATCTATAGGACATCATCATATTTACGTCAATGGTTCTGTTATTTTATTAGGATCCCCATTAGCTGTTACAAAAGCAGCAGCTACTCTTCCTGGGGTCCACACAAAACATGAAACATGACATAATACAGAACGTTAATAGACAAGAACAGCTCAAGGACAAAACATGCTTTGACCATGACAGTTTACAATCGAAGGTAACAACAAGTAATTTAGTCTCCTCAACTTGTTCAACAGCCACACCATTCATTACCAGATTCAGATGAGGTCTAGAACTTAGGGAATTATTTTTTTCCAAATACAATGATCTTAGGTTTAGAGATTTTCAGGACCAGTTTATTACTGGCCACCAAATCCAAAACTGACTGCAACTCTTCATAGTGACTTCATTAGCTGTGGTTGCATTATTTAATGCCAGTGGCATGTTATTGGTAAAAAATAGAAAATAGTAGAGGGCCTAGAGAGCTGCCCTGCGGTACATCACACTTGACACATTTGACATTAGAGAAGCTTCCATTAAAGAAAACCCTTTGAGTTCTATTAGATACAGTGGGGAGAACAAGTATTTGATACACTGCCGATTTTGCAGGTTTTCCTACTTTCAAAGCATGTAGAGGTCTGTAATTTTTATCATAGGTACACTTCAGCTGTGAGAGACGGAATCTAAAACAAAAATCCAGAAAATCACATTGTATGATTTTTAAGTAATTAATTTGCATTTTATTGCATGACATAAGTGTTTGATCACCTACCAACCAGTAAGAATTCCGGCTCTCACAGACCTGTTAGTTTTTCTTTAAGAAGCCCTCCTGTTCTCCACTCATTACCTGTATTAACTGCACCTGTTTGAACTCGTTACCTGTATAAAAGACACCTGTCCACACACTCAATCAAACAGACTCCAACCTCTCCACAATGGCCAAGACCAGAGCACTGTGTAAGGACATCAGGGTTAAAATTGTAGACCTACACAAGGCTGGGATGGGCTACAGGACAATAGGCAAGCAGCTTGGTGAGAAGGCAACAACTGTTGGTGCAATTATTAGAAAATGGAAGAAGTTCAAGATGACGGTCAATCACCGTCGGTCTGGGGCTCCATGCAAGATCTCACCTCGTGGGGCATCAATGATCATGAGGAAGGTGAGGGATCAGCCCAGAACTACACGGCAGGACCTGGTCAATGACCTGAAGAGAGCTGGGACCACAGTCTCAAAAATTACAGACCTCTACATGCTTTGTAAGTAGGAAAACCTGCAAAATCGGCAGTGTATCAAATACTTGTTCTCCCCACTGTATATGGCTCTGAATCCACGATATGGCAGAGGTTGAAAAGCCATTACACATACGTTTTCTCAACAACAGGTTATGGTCAATAATATCAAAGGCTGCACTGAAATCTAACAGTACAGCTCCCACAATCTTCTTATTATCAATTTCTTTCAACCAATCATCAGTCATTTGTGTCAGTGCAGTACAGTGGGGGAAAAAAGTATTTAGTCAGCCAACAATTGTGTGCAAGTTCTCCCACTTAAAAAGATGAGAGAGGCCTGTAATTTTCATCATAGGTACACGTCAACTATGACAGACAAAATGAGAAAAACAATCCATAAAATCACATTGTAGGATTTTTTATGAATTTATTTGCAAATTATGGTGGAAAATAAGTATTTGGTCACCTACAAACAAGCAAGATTTCTGGCTCTCACAGACCTGTAACTTCTTCTTTAAGAGGCTCCTCTGTCCTCCACTTGTTACCTGTATTAATGGCACCTGTTTGAACTTGTTATCAGTATAAACGACACCTGTCCACAACCTCAAACAGTCACACTCCAAACTCCACTATGGCCAAGACCAAAGAGCTGTCAAAGGACACCAGAAACAAAATTGTAGACCTTCACCAGGCTGGGAAGACTGAATCTGCAATAGGTAAGCAGCTTGGTTTGAAGAAATCAACTGTGGGAGCAATTATTAGGAAATGGAAGACATACAAGACCACTGATAATCTCCCTCGATCTGGGGCTCCACGCAAGATCTCACCCCGTGGGGTCAAAATGATCACAAGAACGGTGAGCAAAAATCCCAGAACCACACGGGGGGACCTAGTGAATGGCCTGCAGAGAGCTGGGTCCACAGTCTCAAAGAAAACCATTAGTAACACACTACGCCATCATGGATTAAAATCCTGCAGCGCACGCAAGGTCCCCCTGCTCAAGCCAGCGTATGTCCAGGCCCGTCTGACGTTTGCCAATGACCATCTGGATGATCCAAAGGAGGAATGGGAGAAGGTCATGTGGTCTGATGAGACAAAAATAGAGCTTTTTGGTCTAAACTCCACTCGCCGTGTTTGGAGGAAGAAGAAGGATGAGTACAACCCCAAGAACACCATCCCAACCGTGAAGCATGGAGGTGGAAAAATCATTATTTGGGGATGCTTTTCTGCAAAGAGGACAGGACGACTGCACCGTATTGAGGGGAGGATGGAAGGGGCCATGTATCGCGAGATCTTGGCCAACAACCTCCTTCCCTCAGTAAGAGCATTGAAGATGGGTCGTGGCTGGGTCTTCCAGCATGACAACGACCCGAAACACACAGCCAGGGCAACTAAGGAGTGGCTCCGTAAGAAGCATCACAAGGTCCTGGAGTGGTCTAGCCAGTCTCCAGACCTGAACCCAATAGAAAAGCTTTGGAGGGAGCTGAAAGTCCTTATTGCCCAGCGACAGCCCCGAAACCTGAAGGATCTGGAGAAGGTCTGTATGGAGGAGTGGGCCAAAATCACTGCTGCAGTGTGTGCAAACATGGTCAATACCTACAGGAAACGTATGATCTCTGTAATTGCAAACAAAGGTTTCTGTTCCAAATATTATGTTCTGCTTTTCTGATGTATCAGACAGTGTCACCAGCAAAGCACCCCCACACCATAACACCTCCTCATCCATGCTTTACGGTGGGAAATACACATGAGGAGATCATCCGTTCACCCACACTGCGTCTTACAAAGACATGGCGGTTGGAACCAAAAATCTCCAGACCAAAGGACAAATTTCCACCAGTCTAATGTCCATTGCTTGTGTTTCTTGGCCCAAGCAAGTCTCTTCTTATTATTGGTGTCCTTTAGTAGTGGTTACTTTGCAGCAATTCGACCATGAAGGCCTGATTCACACAGTCTCCTCTGAACAGTTGAGATTTGTCTTGTTACTTGAACTCTGTGAAGCATTTATTTGGGCTGCAATTTCTGAGGCTGGAAACTCTAATGAACTTATCCTCTGCAGCAGAGGTAACTCTGGGTCTTCCATTCCTGTGGCGGTCCTCATGAGAGCCAGTTTCATCATAGCGCTTGATGGTTTTTGCGACTGCTCATGAAGAAACGTTCAAAGTTCTTGAATTGTTCCGTATTGACTGACCTTCATATCTTAAAGTAATGATGGACTGTCATTTCTCTTTGCTTATTTGAGCTGTTCTTGCCATAATATGGACTTGGTATTTTACCAAATAGGGCTATCTTCTGTATACCCCCCCCCCCACCACCACCCTTGCTGATGGAAGGAGGTTTTCACTCAAAATCTCACGATACATGGCCCCATTCATTATTTCCTTTACACAGATCAGTCGTCCTGGTCCCTTTGCAGAAAAACAGCCCCAAAGCATGATGTTTCCACCCCCATGCTTCACAGTAGGTATGGTGTTCTTTGGATGCAACTCAGCATTCTTTGTCCTCCAAACACGACGAGTTGAGTTTTTACCAAAAAGTTATATTTTGGTTTCATCTGACCATATGACATTCTCCCAATCCTCTTCTGGATCATCCAAATGCACTCTAGCAAACTTCAGACGGGCCTGGACATGTACTGGCTTAAGCAGGGGGACACGTCTGTCACTGCAGGATTTTAGTCCCTGGCTGCGTAGTGTGTTACTGATGGTAGGTTTAGTTACTTTGGTCCCAGCTCTCTGCAGGTCATTCACTAGGTCCCCCCGTGTGGTTCTGGGATTTTTGCTCACCGTTCTTGTGATCATTTTGACCCCACGGGGTGAGATCTTGCGTGGAGCCCCAGATCGAGGGAGATTATCAGTGGTCTTGTATGTCTTCCATTTCCTAATTATTGCTCCCACAGTTGATTTCTTCAAACCAAGCTGCTTACCTATTGCAGATTCAGTCTTCCCAGCCTGGTGCAGGTCTACAATTTTGTTTCTGGTGTCCTTTGACAGCTCTTTGGTCTTGGCCATAGTGGAGTTTGGAGTGTGACTGTTTGAGGTTGTGGACAGGTGTCTTTTATACTGATAACAA